AGTAACTAAAATTAATAAACATTAATTGTATTATTGATTGATTAAAATGGCGAAATGTAGATTTTTGTGCTATATATAACGAAACTAAGTGACAATTTGATATTGTAAACCATTTTAAAAAGTAAAAATATTAATACTTCATCAAAGTATGGATACATTTTTGTAATTATATTGTATAACACAACCAATGGAGAGTTACAACCATGATTTTATCCTGTGTACACTACTGATGAATTGTGTAAATTCATTGATTTCATTTGTCATTATTGAAGTTAATTATTAATGTATAAATTAATTAATTATTTTATCTATATATTTTTATTTCAAAAGGACAATCAACTTTTCGTGAAAATTACATTTCTAATAAAGGTAAGTGAAATTAATGATAAATTATTTAATTTTATTTAAATTTTTAATTGTATATTGGGTTTAAATTTCTTAATTAGTTTCTTACGATATAGTGTTTGTGTCATTAATTTGAAATACGAGTGATAATATTTTTAAAATATATTAGCAAATATAGAATAACTTCATTGTCTCTCAAAACATTTAAACAAGATTATATTTAGTTATTCATTAAAATCAAAAAAATATTTTATGGACCATTTTTAAATATTTATTAAATATTATTTTTTTATGATATGAAGGTTCACAATAACCTCAAAACAATAAAACTAAAAAGAAAAAAAAATAGGTAAGTAGATTTAATTTAGTGAGATAATATGAATTTTTTAAAAGTCAAACATTTTTTATCGCCTTAATTATCTGTATTTATTTCAAATAATTATGGGACGATATTTAAATTTTTTTCATTAACTTATTCAATAGAGTCTTTTAGACATAACTTGTAAAACTTCGTTATTGGCTTTAAATAATATAACAGTTTTTTTTTATTAGTGCACTAAAAGAAATCTATACTATTATAAGTACGTTGATATGATGTATTTATTTCAGAGCATAACAAGTGAATACTATAAAAAAAATCGAAATATTTAACATTTTTAATTTAAATATTGTTAATACGTATGAAATTTTCTAATGCTATAAATATAATTGTAATAAAACTTTTAATAGAGTGTACTTTTTTTATATTAATACCTACCGTTTTGTTTGTCAACGCGCTAGCTTCAGAGGTCTTATTAAGTACACGTATCTTAGTACAAAATATCACTATCATAAGAAAAACTTCGATGCAAATCTGTAGATTGTGTATAATTTTATGAAATTGGTAGGGTTTTTATATTTGAGAGGTATAAATAATGTATTTAGAAAGAAAAATTTGTATTGATATATATATATATATTTTTCAAAAATTAATAGCAATTTAAAGTTGAAAATTTAAAATCAAAAATCGAAAATTTTAACACAAAAATAGCATTTTTTTAACTACGTCAGCCATTTGCATGTAGAAGACAAGTCGTTGGGACAAATTTCTTTTTTTTTCACATATTAGACGTAACATAAGCTTTAATTTGACAAATGTTTAAAGGACGCAGTATTCCCGGAATATTTTTTAGTTGAGTTATATAAAAAAAGTTGTTATTTTGAATCCCTTTCTATGAACAGTTTGATTTTAGATTGTTACATTATCAAAAAAATGATGTAAATTAAAAAGAAAATATATAAGGTTTCAATATAAAAAAAAATATTTTATTTGTTCATTTTCCAATAAATTATGGCAGCTTTAAGTATTGAAATAACATTGATTTTTTAAACGAAAATTACATTTTTTGTTAAATATGATGGCCATTTTCCCATAGAAGAAAAGGTGTTAAGACAATTTTTTTTTTTTATCTTGTAGTATTAATTTGACATATATTTAAAGCTGGAACATTTTCAAAAATTAAGTTGTAAATGTTCTACATTTTACTCGTATTTGTAAATATTTAAATCACCCCCGTATAAAGGAAAATAGTTTAATTTTAAAAAAAGTATGTCAAATGAAATAAGTAAATATAAATACTTTATGAAAAAAAAAATTGTATTGATCCATACATTTTTCAAAAAGTTATAGTAATTTAAAGTTGAAAAAAAAATATGAAATTGTAAATTTGCTAGAACTATATCTTAGATTTCAATATAAAAATAATTATTTCAATTCGTTAATTTTTCTATAAGTCATGGCACTTTTTCAGAAAAATATGTCGAAATTTGCCGATTTTAAAAATCGTAATTTTTTGGGGGATTTTCGCCATTTATGGAGAACGAGGGCAAAATTTTTCATTTTTGAGGGTAATGTCTTCGAATAGATACGATTTGTGATCTTTTGACGTATCGTTGACAAAAATCGGTCCGATGAGATTTGAGAAAAAGTGGTAACAGACAAAAAAAATAAATAAATAAACATATCATAATATAATTAATAACTTTTCAGCTTCACGTCGATTCTAAAACCACAATTTTTCTTTTGAAATAAGTATTTTTGCTTAACTTTGGGAATCATTTTCACATTGAATGTAACTTGAAGGGAAATTTATTTCATATGTAGTATACATAAAATTTAAGTGAATATACATTACTAGGACACAGGATTCCTGTAAATTTTTCAAAAGTTAAGTTAAAAAATTTTAATGGGCATAGAAAAGTTGTTATATTAAATGCCCTTGTTTTGAGCAAGTAAAACATCAGATTTTTAAACTAAGATGTCAAAACAAAGAAACATTCTTGAAGTAATTTCAAAAAAAATATTTTCTTTTGGTTGTTTGCTTTTGAAAATGATAATTTGAAGTAATAAAATTTTAAAAATATAGTTCTATAATTTACGATACTTACATTGAAACAAAAACCACTTTACTTATCATATACTTTGTTGACTTTTATTATAATAGAATATGTTACAATCAGTAAAACGTGACTTTTAGGTGCTTTTAGGCATGTCGGACTTAGACATCCAAAACCCAAAACCTTTGGCTGACCTAATTTTAGTGCGGAACAAACCTTGATTGGTCAACAACAAATGAAATACTATACAGGGTGATTTTTTTATCATAACCCACTCAATTACTTGCAGAATAATAATAATTTAAACATTTTTTTTTTATTATTATTTTTAGTTACACATTATTCTTGAATTTTTAACTATGTAATAATTTTTAAGTTCATCCCTTATGCCTTGGAGGGGAGTCAACTTTGTTTTTTTAAATGGTAACACATATTTTTAATTTAATAGTAAATGGCATTTGAATTTTTAATATAACTTTATTAGCTTATTAGATATAAACATTTAAAGTTTCAAAATTTTGAGTTAATATACATGTATAATACACATGGGATTGTAAATACAGGTAGCTAATTGGATTTTTATAACATCGATATTAGTAGGTACACAGCATTATTATTATCAATTGTAGTAAGGCACATTGTTATGAGTTTATAAATACACTAACTGACAATACAGAAAGTATATCTATTGATAATCATAATTGATAATAAACCATCCGTGACTGAGACAGCAAAACGAGAAAGAACGGTTTTTAAAAGTGACTATTAATCAATTTATGATAGAATTTTTTGTATTATAATATAACTAAACAGTGTGTGTTTGTTGAATGTTTCTCTTAAATGTTTATTTAAATTATTTTTGTTTGAAAAGGATTTGTCCTTTTATGAATATAACGCATAAATATGCCATGTTATGGTAGTGATAAGTATATTAACCTGTTATTTTACAATAATTTTCAATATGTTTTCAATAAATTCATAAAAATTACAAATAAAATACCTATTTCCTATTCGTGTTAAAAATCATATTGGCATTAATGCATGCACACAGCATCTATCTTTTAAACTAATTTATATATTTTTCAAAATAATTTTCTCATAAATTATTTTTTAAGTTGATATTTTATAGCATCGTAAAAAATTAAACATCATATGCGGTGACTTAAATAGGTTTTATATTGAAATAAAAATGTGCAAACTGATTTAAAAGTGTGCGTACCTGCATTTTGTCGATTGACTCATAAAATGAGGTGAAAATAATAAACGGAGTTTTCAACTTAATTTTTGGTACGGAAAATTCTATCTTGTTACACTACAATACAAGTATAAATAGTATTATTGAAATAAATGTGTGTATATACTACATCCAGTAAACAAGTGATCTCTATATCAATAATAGGCTAGAAGTAAATATATGTATACATAATTTTCAACGGTATGTGGACGTTAAGTTAATGCTGAGCTTTTCTATTTAGTGTACGTTATTGCTATATTTTTAAATTCCTATATTCAATTATCATTTTATTAAAAAAAAGGTAGCATTTAGACTATCTTTAGATATCTAAGGATAGTACATGTTATACATATATAAGTATGTGTCCCAATGTTTAATATGATAATACTTTATTCCCATGTTAAAAATGTCTACATTATAACAGATTTTAGTTTTTTCTAATTGGGATGAAATTTTTATATTGTTTGATCTGTTTTAGTAAACACAAACAATATTTATATTATCTATTTACATAACGTATTGACTGAATATTATTCTGAAATTGCCATGTTTTATGAAATAATGTTTGTCGAGTAGCAAAAAGTACAAGTGAGTTTTTAGCTTAACATACGGTTTTGTTTTAGGGTTGTAATTCATCACGTTAAAAATCTGATAACATGTTGACATTCGAGGCTTACTGATTTCGCTTGGAAAAATTCTCTTTGTACCAAAACGGTTTCGCTCTTTGGGGACGTGGTCCGTGCGATCGATGGGTTTTTAAGCGCTCCGACAGTGTTGACCATAAACTGTGGTTGAAGAGTAAAATAAAATAATATATCAAGACGCGATTGCGGGCTATCTCGGCATCGACTAACAACCCCTAGATTGAACGCATCATAGTCATCGTCAGACCACTTCGGGGATGAAGCAATGAGTGTATTTTGATAAATAACCAGATTTTGCCTTTAACGGTAGCTATTAATTAATGGATTAGCATCGTTTGTGATTGCTCTCGAGGGCTGCTGTCCTCAAGCTCACTCTGGTATGTATGAGAGTGATATTATTTTTAACCGCATTTCGCGACTTACTTGTCCACGAGGAGCGCTTTTTACTTGGGATAAGGTTATGATATTGTTTCGCGAAAAAGGGATCGGGTGCGATCACGGCATTTCAGTGCGTGTCACTGATCGCCACGTACGTCCGATCCGATAGTGTGTAGTAGTCGTACTAAATAGTGATACGTATTATATTTTACGAAGTTTTATTAGGTAGTGATTAGATTGACCTGTGCATATCAATCTTATGGTTATTCGTAATTTTCTTAGTTTATATTTATATCTAGTGTATGTTCGTTAAAAGCGGTTTACTTGTGCGTGGATTTTTTCATTTTTTTATATTATAGAGATATTGATAAAATGACTGATAGCAGTCATAATTCTCCGGCGAGGAGTTTTGGGTCGCCAGCTCGAAGTTTTAAGTTATATGACCGTCGCGTTTTGGGTTCACCTGCTCGTTCTTATTGTAGTGGTGCGGATTATTCTTCTGCTACCGAATCTGAAGGAGAAGATTCCTCTGCGGACACGATCTACTTGGCAGCAGAAGTGCCGGGTTCTGTTGATCAGGCAATCATAAACGGATGGCTTAAGTTTAGAGACAACAAAAAAGTTAGTATTTTTCGATCGAAAAATATTGAGAAGACATTATTTAGTTATACTTAAAAAAATTATAGTTAATATAGTGAAAATGTGTAGTTTGAAAAACACTCATTTATAAATAAATTAACTATAATAATAGTTAACTAATTTTATTTAGTAGTAATAACTAATAATATTAAAAACGTCATTTGCCGCACTTCTATTTTTCTTTATCTAACAATAAGTCACTCATTAATTAATTATTTTTTAAAGTTCCTTTGTAGATATCCGTATACAAAATTTTAATAGTACCGACATGTATCAAATAAGATGGTATTATTATTAGAATAGCGTGCGAACTTCATCAGTATAACTAAGAGCTTAATATAACATTTTGTTTGCTTATAGCGCAGAAAGTTTCTTAATATTCTTCCATATCTGTCTGTATTAAGCAGTATTTATACAATGAAATATTAACCATCGAGGTTCTATAATTATTTCATTTATGGCTTATTTTATTTTATCTATTTCTCTAGGGTTATTAATTTTAATATTATCAACTAAATTGTTTTTTATTAAATTAAAATTGTTTTAATAAAAAATTAAATATGCATGTAAAATGTCTGAAAAATTAAAATGTATTTTATTACATTTCAAACAGTTATCATTGTAATAGACATTTTGTTTTTTATTTTCAAAATTTTGTTAGAAATTACTAAGAATATTAATTTTTTTAAACAAAATCGAAGTTCTGTTTACTTTTCTTATTAAACTTTTTAATTTTACACGACTTGTTTACTACTTGTTTAAGTATTGATAAATCGATGTGTATTTAGGGTTTCCTACAAAACTTTACAGAACTAATAGTTATCTTGAAAAAAGCGTCGGTTAGTAAAAAACTTTTGTACAAATGTTATATAGTTAATCTATTATAGCAGATAATTAATTAAACATTTAATATTAACGGGTTCTTTTTAGCGAATCTCTGTTTCCGTCGAGATTGGATTATGAGCTAATTGGACTTATATAATAAATATTCAGAATTGGATTGCAATATTTTCAAGTTTTCGAATCTTAACTTTTTTGTCGAATATCCAAGATTTCTTGTATATCTGATCTTCTATCTTTCTTCTTAATCCAAGTTGGGAAAGTGTTAAAAATATTATATTTTTATATACGTATTAGTATATGCATAATTTAATTTCCAAAGTTTTTGTCTGAATTTCTTTAGTAATCCATCAACAAAATTAATAAACTATAACTTTTTGAAAAAATTGTGAAAATGATAAGTGTAAGTTACTATAATTTATGTAGCTTATTTCAATCCATGTAAGCCGTTCATCAATTAGTCTTTAAATTAAATCAATGTGATTGTAATACTAAATATTAATACGATGACAATAGTGCACAGTGAAATTCATATATTCAGTATTAATTTTGATTACAATGACTGTTTAATTTTGTTTTTTTTTATGATAATAACAATAAAATTTTTATCAAACCGTTTTTATTTCCTTTTATAGTATGTGAACTAAATAAATTAGCCATAGAGAATTAGTTTATTGTCGATTTTGGTGTACACACAAAATGATTCGTTCAGTAAAATTGAGGAATAAAATGTAAATAAAGGGTAAGAGCGTACGGTATACTGTTTATTATAATTGGTTGACACATCAACGAATTTCAGTTTACGCGTTTGAGTACAAATAATTTCAGGAAACTGCGTGCACAACAGTTATTTTCTATACTTCCAGGGATGAGGTCAATTTTATTTAAAAAGTATAAATGTAATTCGATTTTTGTAGTAATTACATTTAATTTGTTGTATCGCGGTTCTGGATTAAATAGGTTACATAGCGTAATCTAGTCGTTTAGATTGCAGAACATTTAAATATTCAAATTAAAAAAAAACATTAATTGGTTACTCAATTTTACTAAAAACTAACAGTAATTATTATTTTATGAATATTATTTTAACTTTTCTATGATAAATTATAAGTTAAGATGGAAATTCATAAGGTTATACTTTGAAATTCTACGATAAAGTCCTACTATTATAAAAAGGCTTACCAATTTTCGAAAACATTTTTTTAAAAATCTTTTTTCAAAAATTTTTTTTTTTAAGACACTTATTTAAAATTTTATTAAGTATGGGACATAGCATACAAGAAATAGTTCTTCATTTGAAACTATGAAACAATGATTTTTTCAAGTTTATGCAATTTCTTCTTATTATTTCATATAATACATGTACATATTTTGTTTAAATTGTTATTTTTGCAAAACGTATTGTTTGTAATAATTTATACTGCATATTCATAACTCGTATTAAAATAAAAAACAAATCATTTTGCATGTTAATGGTGTAATTTTATTTATGTATGCGATCTACAGTAGTTTAGTCCGTATTTTTTTATCGGTACGATGGATATTATAACTTTATTGTCAGACAAAATATAAACTTTCATTTATTCAAGACAGTGGTTACTAGCGTATAATGGTCGTATAGACATTAGTCATCAGTTTTAGAAGAGGAAGTGTATTATAAACATTGTAAATCTGTGTTTTACTGTATATATTTATATCGCACTAAGATGATGGCGCCAAGATCACTTATTCTTAGGGGAAAAAAGTATGCATCATGCAGTTAGTGAAATTTTTTAGTACCAAAGTGTAATACTAATTAATTATTAATCGAAAGTAAAATTATTTAAAAATAAGAAGTTTAATCATTTATTAGAATCATATTATTAAATATATATTTTTATCCAAGAATATCTGTAAAAAAGATGTTACAAAAGAACTATTCACAGTATTTCACTAAAGAGTGCAAAAACAAAAATTTAAGATATGTACATTTAATTAGTTTGTTAATCAATTTTGTTGTTGATTAATAGCTGAAAGAACTAAAATAATGCTTCATAAAAGGCTAGTTACTTGTTTTATTTAACAATTTTGTTTAAATATAAAATACTATAAAGAACTATTTATGTTAGGGCTAGGAATTGAATATAAAAAACCGGTTTTGAAACAGAAATATTTTTAAATCTAAAACTGAAACCTAAAAAAACTTTATAACCCGTAACCTTAACTAAAAACGAAATTCTTGCATAATTTTTAATTACTTATTGGTATTATTTTAAAATCAGTTAATATTTTTGAGATGATGTTTAGTTAAAATTAAATTGAAAGGCAATAATATATTTTTTTGAGTTTAATTATCAAAACTCGAAAATTTAATGAGTAATTTTTCTTTGAAAATACAACATATTTTGATGTTTTTTTTTGTCAAAGATCATGTTATGACTAAAATTTTTTTTGGAAGTTTGAAAGATACTTGCATAAAATATAGATTTGTTTTTAAAAACCAATAATCTAAAAACATAATGTTATGTTGCATATTATTTCTAAAAATGAAATCAAATAAGTCAAAGACATACTAATGAGTTATGTAGGAAATTTGACGAATTTTGAGATACTTTTTTTTGTATAACTAAAATTGAGTGATTTTTTTTCAAGTTTTGAATGTTTTATCTTAAACTGAATCAAATTCGGGTTCTATTAACGCAATATTTAGCAAAATTAGTCTACTGAGAACTAAGAATTTTTATGGGTAAACAAAAAACAAGACGCTTCTCATGGTAAACACAATATCTTCTCAGCTTTGCATCGAAACTAAAAAGTTCAATAAATATTTTTACATATGGCATTTGATTAATGTCTTTTAACTGCATAACTTACTAAAGTAATCAATTTTTATAAAAAAAAATATGAAAATATTTATTACTTTAAATTTTTATCTTTAAAATCTATTTAATAACCGTACTGAAAACTGATCTAAAATATCAATAAGTTGGAAAACCGAAACTCCTATTGAACCCCAAAAAGTTATCTCGTTTCCTAGTACTGGTTTGCGCCAAGTAAAATAACTTGATTTTGTGCGTTTGCCATATAGAAATTCAAAAACAAATGACTATTAAACTAATACAATCTAGTATTCATTTGCTTACCTTAATTCTAATTAACCGTTTGTATTATTATGCTAATCATGTTATAAATTGTAAAATAGATAAACCAAATTATTTTATCAAACCTTCGTTGAAACATTAAAAACATTAATTGTTTTATATATACAAAGTAGAACAGATCTAACTGGCAATTCATATAACTTAAATCTACGTAAAATATACTGTTTTTTAATCAATTTTTACATTATAGGACTATATTAAAATATGCTTAATGTTATTTTTTGCAATTACAAAAGACACCACAAAATATATTTTTATAAACATTTTTGTAAATATTACGTTTTAAAGAAAAATTATGACACTAAAAACTTTTATTTTATGAAATTTATTTTAATTCAGTCGCTACGTTTTTATAGCATTTTGAATTTTTTTACAATTTTTCTATGATATCAAGTGTTTAGTTAGTTATTATTGAGGTGGACATAATGCCCATGCACTCAGACCTGTTGGTCCATTGTGCGCATATCAAGTGTTAGTTCATATTTTGTAAAACACAGAAGTAAACACTATCTTATTATGTTATTTACTGGCGACATTAGGGGATTACTTATTATTAAAATTACTAACGTTTGAACAAGCATTTTACAGAAATGATTATCTTGAATTTTTCTTGTTAGGAAATTTGATAATAAATGCACTTCTTTATTATTATTCACGATTAGATTTATAAAACATGAACTTATTAATTTATAACTCAACATGTCTTAAGTAGCGTTTTTATATTTTTTTGGATAAACTTAATTTTACTACTACTTGTTTTTTTATATCAATTACAGAAACTTATTCAAATGTTAATTATTTTCATGGGAAAAAAATCATGCACTGTCGCTAATAAATAATATTATAAATAGTATTTAAATCCGTATTTGATACCATAGACAAATCATAAAAAAATTCAAAATTTAACAAACTTCACAATGCTATAGAAACGAAACGACCGAATTAAAATAAGATAAAACTTGATTAAAAAACTAAGTAAAAAATGTTACCTAGTTATTAGTAATATGAATTGTCAGTTAGATATGTTCCACTCTGTATAAATAATTTATAAAATGTATTATTTACCTACATAAATTAATTAAATTTTTTATTACTTATTTTGTAACTAATATTTTAATTTTACAAATTCCTCAGAACAGGAAAAACAAATTAAAAAATTAAATGAAGCTTTTTGTTAATCGAAACTTTTGAAGTAAAAAACAAATATTATCCATATAATTGAAATGTATTTTTTTGCTACTTAATAGAAATCATATTTCTCTTTACAAATTATAAAAAATCAGTATTGTAATTCATCAGCTTTTGGATGCATGTAATAAAATGTATTTATATATTTAAAAGTTTTAATTTCTATTTAAAATAAAAAAAAATATTTGCTTCAACTGATCAATTCTTATTATATTTTTATCTACGTTCAGACTACGAAAAAACTAATTGTCTCATTGTCTTTTTTTTTTTCAATCAAATCGATAATATTATTTCAACTTTTATCTTTATATATTGAAAGAAAATAATTCCGAAATAATGAAATAAAAACAATTAAGAATTGTATCGAATTTTTATAAATATGTCGGTTGAATTTATTTTTAAGCTTATACTAAACATTTTATATTATATATTTTTTATTTTTTATTACTACATAGTATTTATATCCAAGTAAAACGAATCATTATATTTATATTTGTGTGCGTTTGGACAAAAATATTGATATATTACTACATTTTCTACAATACCTTAGAGAACAACTATGCGTGTATCAAGATTTAATATTGAAAGAATAATACTTTATTAAATTCGATTTGTCTCCTTACTACGATTTAAAAAAGGTTGTATCATATTAAATCTATAATGACGATACAAATATTTGTGCTTACAACATTGTTTCTTTTTGTTTGAAATGAATTTTATTGAACGTAGATAGTACAAAATTGATTTTGAATTTAAAAAAATATTTCTCCATCGTAAAAAAAATGTTATATTAAATTTTCATTGAGATATTAAACGCAATTTTTAACATAGACTCCATTACAAATACAGCACTAATTAATCAAGCTACAAAATATTTGATTATTGGTATCAGGAGAATCTATTTTAAATAAATAACTCGTATCGACATATTATCATTTTATATGAAATTTATTATTGATATACTTGTAAACAAATGGTTGTTACGCAGTCTTATATCTCTGAACAAAATTATCAAATTGATACTCAAATTTTATGGAAAAAATTTAAGCTAAATCTAATCTTACGAAAATTAATGCAATTTTATATACGAAAATGTTATAGCTACAAATAAATCGTTTATATTAAAAGTGATTTCAAGTGAATTAATTGAAAATGTACGTGATTGTATAGAATACTGTACTATAGATACATAGTTAATATTTAAATTCTTTATCAAAGCTCAGAATCTGTTGGTTTTGTGTTAATGTGCGATTTTTACGTCCATATAAAATTTCAGTTATTACAAGACTGATATTAATGATTAGTACGTGAAAAAACCTTATTTTTTTCATGAAATATATTCCATTGCATAATTACAAATCGTGTTAAATACAATCAAACAAATTGAGTGGGAGTGCTTAGTAGATTATATTTCAATAATATAAAAAACCTAACACAAACTTCCTAATGTTATGGTTAAAATAGTAAACAGCAAAACCAATTATTAATAAGATAATATATTATTATTATGTAAACTTAAGCATTAGATATTTTTATAAAGAGCTCATATTAACCATATGCGCACTATTTTAAAAGTCAAAATGGCCAAACTCCATAAAAGAACCAATTATGATTGAATGACAACTAACGTACTAATAAACTAGCAGATCAATATTATGTAAAAATGGTCAAATAGCTCCAAAAATTAAGCATTAAAAGTAAGAATAGAGAATGATTATATTGTATGTATTTCTCTGCAATTAAAACCAATGCATGATGTTTTATTGACAGTGGTTAATCTAATTTAACTGAATTGATTAAACAGTAATGTAAAATTTGATGCGAAGCGTAGGTACGCATTTATTAAATGGCATAAACTCCAAAAAGTAAACACCTTAGGAAATACTCACGTAACGCTTAATATTAAAAATTGTACTTTCAAAATCCAAATAAAAGCAGTAAATAATGACTTCCGATTTCTTAAGGACAGAATTATAGGAAAATCGTTTTTAAGGAAGTGGAATAGCTCAAAAAAATCGTTTTATATTACCAAAAAACAAACTTTTGCCACTATACATGTGTGTTCTAAATATATTTATTTTGTAACAACTGATAATAACTAAGAAGTGGTTAAAGGCTAACACGAAATCGCAAATATTTTAGTATTAGGTTATTGCGTATATAATAATAATGATATATTTGCTAGCGTAGTCAATGATAATTATATTGCAGAAAGTGTACCGGAACTTTAATTGACCGACGTGACATAATAGTCATTAGAAATATCATCAACAAGTATAATCACATCCAAATTATACACCGCTAATTTAACAAGATTAAAAACAGATAGTTTAGTAAACTTTTTCGCGTTTAGAATTGTTTTATTTTAATGATGAAGAAAAACAAAATATTTTATTGCAAACAATTTTAGCTTTTAGAATGTGCAAAAATAATTTAAACAAATATATATTTTTTTAAAAATTAGTGGTTTTATACAAAAATCCCAGTTTTCTATGATATTTAAATGGAGAGAAAAATGTTCTTGAGCGACCTTTTAAGGTTGATTAAAAATCTCAAATTTAGACAGCTACTTTACCTTACCTTACCTGGTACATTACCAAATAATTTTTTTTGGTCTTTCGAATTCAAACACTCCCGTACTCAAAACATTTTTTGCGCCTATTATACATACTATATTATAATCTAGTAAATGAATAATTATTCATAGAAAAATAAAAAAAACAAAACGAATATCTAAAAAATGTAATTGCCTATCCCAGAAATTAACCTTGGAAGTACCATTAATTATGGTACTTAATAAAGAGAAAACTATAAATACTTTTCTAGTTACATACAAATTAAAAATAATCTGAATGATTCTGTAAAAATAACCTTTATTACCGAAATAGGATATTTTGAAGCTTTACGATTAAACTTTGGTATAATATCGGCGCCAGCAATCTTTACTAAGCTCATGAAAAACGTTTCAATGGGTTCGAAGAGACCCTATGGTTTTATCTACCTCGATGATCTAATTATACAAGAAATAATTTTTGAGAAACATGAAAAATAGTTGAATTCCGTTTTCGATGAATTACGCAAACTTGCTATTAAATGTAAGTTTTATAATGTACTCTCGTATTTTAATGTTAACATTTAAAATAAATTGTAAATGTAATACACAACAGGTTAATAAAATTAATGACAAAAAATCAGCATATTACCCAAACGTTACATTATAAATGCATCACCGCCTGCACTAATAAGAAGCATCCACATATCAATGACTTTGGAACATTTTTCTCCGTTGTATTAAAATTACTCATTCGAATGGATATTTTGTTTTATAAGAAGGAACCTGTAGTATTTTCTTCAATTTACTTTTATCATTTATGAAGTTAAGATTTATTTTCACATCACTTTGATTTTACTATATTGTGGTTGCGGTTACCAATTTTATTCTATAATTATTCGATAACATAGATTTGCAGGGACCAAAAGAACTATAGTTAAGATCTGCAGAATAAGACACGTTAATTTAAGACTTAAACGTCTAAACTTAATGTCAGTCTGTCCATGTTAAGTATTGTACTTAAAATTATTACTAACATAAACTTTTGTGAACTTTAAGTATTAAAATTTACTATAATTAATATTATGTTTGATGTTGAAATTGTATTGTATTCATCAACTCAGACTTGATAATTTTCCTATAACGACCATCCCGCCTATTGTAGTAGATATTATATGGTTACCGATTGTTAAGCTGTGATTGGTTTTAAAGTAATTTTTTTGGTAAGTATCAATTCTTCGATAGTTAGGTAAAGAAAACAGAAACTAATAATTTTCAATGCGGTCCTTAATTCAATTCTTTTTTCATTTATTCATTATTTTGACATTTCGCTCAGCATCTTTACTCTTAGACACTGTTTTTACTTGTTATTTAACTGCGACTTGCTTCAAACGTTACAAACGTTACAATTTTTGACATCACTATTTCTAACATTAAACCTTCCACTGTAAATGCCACATATTTCATTGTCGGCGTTGACTTTACAAAAGAACTGTTTGCTGTGTTATTATCATTTATTTTTGAGATATTTGCTCGCGATAATAATACACGAATAATATAACTCCTTTTAACATTTAGCTTTGTAAAAGTTGAAGACAAAATGAACGTCGAGTCTAGTAGATTGACAGTTAATTATAAAATTCTGACACGATTGTACGTGTTTGATAACACCATAATCCTGGAAAATTCATTTGTGCAAAAGTACAGCGTGATTAAAGACTATACTTTTATGTCTTAGGTTAATCAAAAAATTAATAATCCATTAAAATTGTTCACGAAAAAATATGTGCTGTAAAATTTCAAAAGAATTTGATTATAAAATATAATTAGTAAATATTTCTTATATTAATTTTCAGGTATCGATTTGATACATTTTATTATAAAAAGTTAATCGGTTATTGCTTTCCAATATCAAATTATTTTTAAACATATTCATTATTTGAACTTAAAAATACATAATTTACATTATCCTTAAATTAATAATCAACGGAATTACTAACAACTATTAGATAAAGTTTTTTTAATAGATAAATTAATTGATTTTTTACGACAAAAGTATAATTATTTTATTTATGTAAGAAATTTAGTTTTTTAAACAAAATTTTCGTGTTTTCGAATTTTGTAGTATAAATGTACAATTTATTTGAAAATAGTTAATATATTTTTATGATTTACAAAATAAATATTAATTTTAATAATAATTTGTGATTTGTTTTTTTTCAGTGGAGACATAGATGGGCTGTTATAACAAAATTATCACCAGCTGCAGGTGAGTACAAAAGTTATAATTAAGAAAAATAAAGTTTCAAAATAAAAAAAAGTCTGCTGTTTTTTACTTTAAGCTAGAAACTTAATTTTGCTTTATAAAAAATATTTTAAATATTTTACTTTAATTAAAATGTATTCGAAGTTAATAGAAGTTTATAAATTTATATATTTCATATCGTTATTATATTGAAATGTGAGGTTTTTCCAACATAATTTTGGTATTTATAATTTATAGGGCACACATAAAACATTAAATATTAACCTTTTATAAGACTGTTTGACCCTGTAGAGAAGGTTAACCACTTAAATACTCAAAAAAGACTTTATGGATTATTTTTTGAAATGACGACATTAAAGAAAACAATTCATTTTATTTTATATTATTAAATACGTTAACAAGTTTTCGTCTTGATAAAACGTTTTTTTTATAGTAACCAGTTAATCAATTATTGTTTAAAATTATGAATTGAAAATGTCCTTCATGAATAATTAATAATAAATATGCGCCAACGTTGAACTAAATATAAAATTTAAAAAACTAAAAAAATAGCTATACTTTCATTTAATTAAAAATATAGTATTTTCAACAGTGTTAAAATATTAATGAAATTACTACAAATTTCAAACACACACTTGTGTGTCAAATATAATATTTTTTTAATACATCGAGAACTTTTGTTTTCAAGATGAAGAAGTGTTCTATTCGGTTGGGACTTTTGAAGGGAATAAATTGTCGTCTTATATCGATGAGATGCAGCCAAAAAGGGAAGAATACGGTTTTTGAAAGGAAAACAACTGGGAAATACTCGTTGTTTCGAAATTGTATTGTATTTTTTTCGCCCTTCGGTTTCTGAAATCGTTAATACTTGCATCATTATTTACTTGAAACTTGACGGTAAAAGAAATTGCCAACTGCAAACTAAACATTAGTAAAGGACTTTTTATGGTAAAAATAAATAGCCAGTTTAAGGTTTTATTGAACCATAAATTGAAACAATAGTTTTAAAATAGAAAAACTCTCATTTGTACAAGTAAATCACAGAGGACATTGATTTTCATTATTATAAATAATAATAGAAATTAAGAATTTTTACTTTTTTATTGATAATTTTTAGCTTTGTTTCATAAATTGTGAAATCTAATATATCAAGATAAAATGAAATTACCAATAAAAAACACGACAACCAAAATTATTGTTTAATCAAATATACAATTTGTAGTTTTTATATTTTAGCTGAGATAAATATTTTATTGTCAATGCTCAAAACCAATAAATTAACGTTTATATAAAAAATACATTTTTTCATTGGGAACATTACAATTCAACGAGCATCATTCTGATGTACATATATATTATGTATTAGTTTTTACAAAAGCGGTCTTAGCAATAATAACATACACAGAGGGTTGTATAGAGTGGTTGGGGTAAATCTGTACTGGAATTTGCATAAATACAACAATGCGCGTGTATTTCGCATGCGACAAGCGTCTCTCGTATTATTTAAATTAACAAATATACCACCACCAATGATGTTTTTTAGAGAGGAGTCATTTTTCAAATAGTCCACTTCCTTCCCTCTGCACATTTATTTTACAACGTGTATCACAATTATACAGTGCCCGCAATACTTAGTAACAGTAGAATAAAAATGATAGAATTAAGTATTCAAATGTGTAGGCTATTTTAGTAAGCGTTTTTATAATCACTTTGATTAATCCCTTTAGGCGAATTATAGTGACTTATATCCAATAAATAGCATTAGAAAAGTCAAGTTTTCAAATCGTTTGAATGTATTTGGTATTATTTTACTTAAAAAATAAAGATTATTTTGGTATTGTAAGCAAATTATATTGATGTAACAGTATGTATTAATATTTCCTTTAGCACCGTCACTTGGCTGACATATTTTTCATTGTCAACTAAAAAGTATAAAATAGATATTTCGTACATCATACATTACCCGCTTTATCGTCAAAATGTACTTTTAGGCTAACGTGGCTTTTATTTCAACACGCACTGTAGATTAGTGATGGCTTTTTCATCATTATCCGATGGGATATAATCGGTTTTCAAGATAGTTGATGATGTTCAACACAGCTGATGAAAACGAGGAAATGCAAAATGTTTCTTTTTGATGTTCTCTAATATTTTTGCACGACTGGCCCAATGATTTAATATAATTTTTCATACCAGCGAGTCCGAACCCCAAGTTGTTGTCGTACACTATCGCGTTTACTATGTCGTGACGGGAAATTGATTCGAACCGTTCTTTTTTACTTCTAATCCCGTAACCTAAAGGTAGGTTAAAAAATAATGTAGATACTGCGAAATCATCACATTTTATAGTATTAATAAATCGTCAAAAACAAAATCGCATTTTTAATTAATCACTGTTCTTAAAGCGTGTTAAAACTAAATGATTAATTCTCTATTCTAATAAATCATTCCTTATATTTAAATCAAGAAAAAATTAAAAACGTACAAGTATATTTTTACACAGTATATATAATACTCCGTCTTAATAATTGAAAATGAATAAAATGTTTTCATAATTTTTTCTTTAATAAGTATGTGTCGCAATGTCTGTGGGTCATTTAAAAATGTTCATAAATTTATCTTTTTAGATTTCTACAAAGTATTAATTTTGAATTAATGTTTTAAAAATAATAATAGTTCAATGGTATTTGAAAATGAATTTTGATATATTTTTTTTCTTAATTGTAAGAATAGCGAATACTGTATTATAAAAAACACTGTAAGAAATGATCCGAAAAATCCCATTCATCAGTATAATACTTTTAATAAACACGTTACTTTTACACGTAAGTTATGGAATTTTGACATAAAGTAAACGAAAATTTGTAGACAAATATAAAGTTTTTATCACTATTCATCAAAATTTCTCTTACATTGTATGAGTTGAAAACTTCCAGTATATATATATATATATATATGTGAATATTCTTTTTTTTATGAATAAAAACAAACGGATTCGATGAAAGACGTGTCTTTCCTTGTCAGTTAATTCAAGGGAACGTCTTAGCTTATGTTTAAAAATTCATATAACGTGACTGTGTGTTTGAAAAAACCGTTCTTACTTCACAATACACTACCAGCATGGAATAGTGTCAAACTGTCTTAAACTTTACATATGACTTTAACTTGTACAAAACTTTTTAATCCGCAATCCAATAAATTCAAGAGTTTTCAGAGTTATTACAATGTTCAATATTTATGCGTCAAACAATTCTAGTATTATGAAGTGTTGTATTCTATACAGACATAGTATTTTATTTTTTCAAGATGTTTATGAAAGTTAATCGTTTTTCCATGTATATTTTTATCATTATATCAGAGCACGTTACAATGACAATAAAAAACTATATAATAGTTTTTAAAGGCTAAATTATAATTTTTTGTTTACATTGACTATGAATTTTACACATTAAGCATGTAGTTGTTGATGGTCAGTGTAACATATGAACCATCCGTTCCACGCTTATTATAATTGTCAGTAATCATGATTTAACGATTATTTTCCGTCAAATAAAACATAATTTACCCTTCTCGTATTTTATTATGCTCTTTAAATGGGCATAAATGTATATGCGTAAAAAAGCGAGTGCGTAAGCAAACGCAAAACAAATCGAGCGTAAAAACTGAGGGAATTGCGGTACTTCGATAAAAAGGTCACTTTTTAACATTGTTAGCATATAATCCATTTCGTCGTTAGAGTTGAGCCATTCTTTTTCTTTTTTTTTAATGCGTTCGTTAGAAGATTTTTTCTTTGTTTTACTCGTATATCGAGCTCTGTACATCTGTTTAATGAACGACAAGACATTACACCGTTGGACCTCCATGAATATTTAATGTAACACAGCAATTGTCTTCGGGCCTAATACAATATGCGTTTACCCGAATGATCAATTTTAATTTCGTTTCTCTCGCCTGGCCATCGTGTAGCTCGCAATAGTTATTTCTATGATTTATTTATCAAACCTTTACTGCTTTAGCCATAGGAAAATGTGACTTTTTCCCCCGGGAGTAAACGAAAAGGTATTAAGCAATACTTCTTTTGTGAAACCTCTTTTGGAATTACTTCACACACTTTCTTGTGTTGGTATTTGAACATTGAGCCATATACAAACTGTTAAAATAACTTCGTTTTCAAACTTTGTCAAGTTAAATAGTTAGTAAATACTCAAAACGCGTGACTTTAATGAGGAACACAGCGTTCAAAAGTTATTAAAATTATTCTTTTTAAATTAAAAAAAAACAAAAAATATTATAGAACATCGAGTATTAATAAAAACTAGTACATGTGGTTTATATGAACAATTTATTTTCAAACCTATCAATAAATAAGTTTATGCATAAAAGTATTTTCACGCATCACAAATCTGAGCATGAACTTTTAGTGTTTTTTAGGTTAGCTGTCAATAAACTTCATGTCAAGTATTATATTTAAAATAGATCTTACAGTCACGTCCCAAGGGTGTCATCACGTTGGTGTCATATATAAAGGAATCGTTTTTGACGGTGATTCAATGTGGCATTTGGCTTTTAAACTGCTGCTTACTTTTTTGTTAGCCCGTCGGCTTAGCCTCAGTTCATTGTCGCCTATAAGGAAAGACGAGACAGTTTGCGTCTATAAAAACATCGAACTAGGAATACTATAGAAGGATGAGAAGAGGTGACTGGATAGCTGGGTATCATCAATCACTGACATACTCCCCTTATTCGCGTATACAAATACTATGGTAGTAATGACGACGTCCATTATTATAATAATATGTATTTTTGACGTTTTATGCACTTTTGAATGTTAGGCTTTAGTTGAAAGTCATTTATCATTTTATCATACGTGTTACTTTAATTCAAGACCCATATTTTCATATTGAATATGATTGTATTATATATATATTTTTTAAATTATTATGTCTTAATTTTTCAGGCATTATCTATAATTAATAAACAAACTTTAATTGACTTACAATAAC